TCTGTAGTGAATTAATCTGGACCCTTCTTAAATTGGACAAGAAAAGAAGAGAAATATTTACTAGATTACATTAACAGGCTTGCTATGTTAAAAGAAGAAAAAGAGAAATCAGCATTGAGAACTGTTCACTTCACAATTGGGATACTTAAGAGTGCAAGGAAAGACTATTGTGACACTGGTAAAGAAAAAGGGTTAAAATAAAATATTAACTGGAACAGACAAGGGCGGTTAAAGTACAAAATAAAATAAATTTGTTAATGAAAATTAAGATAATTACAATTAATGACTAAAAGTTAAGACCGCCTTTTCACTCACTCAGTTTAAAAATCAGATTTGTCAAAGAGACAGCCAGAGTTGCAGGCTTAGATGAGATACTAAGAGAGAGAGGGAGAAATTACCTATACCTATCTAAAAGTAATGGTGCAAGGCAAAAATAAGAAAAGAAATGAATTATATGGGTAGGATATTACCTGTAGCCAGAAAGAAGGGATCTCCCAAATTTGTAGAGGTAATTAATATTGTGAACTAGACAACAAAGAACTTTTGTACAAATCAATACAGAAACCTGAGGAACCTCCAAATTCCCAAACAAAATTTAAATATATTTTGCAGATATTATTTTTGTACAGATAGATTGTCTTTAAAAAGCGGTAAACATTGCCTCATGTATGATAATCAACAGTGCATAGAAAATTTGTAAATGGCATTTAACAAATGAAGTTAAAAGAAATTCTTTCTGTTTGTGTTTCTTTTAATTTTATTTTGGCAAATTATTTTCATGAAACAAAAAAACATTTGATTTTTTTTCATTCTCAAAATGTGAATCTTTAAAACATAATATTTGAAGTTGGCACTAAACATATTTATATAGTTGAAGGAAATACTTTCATTACTTTTTTAAATTTTCATTTTTTAAATAATTTTTTCAAAATTATTTTCATGAAACAAATATTTGAATTTTGTTTTATTCAAGAGAAAATCATAATAAAAAATGAATACACAGAGTCTTTAAATTAAAAAAACAATCTTATTGTGTGAGAAAACGGGAAAAAAACCCAAAGAAAACTCCTTGCCAAACAAAAATGAATGCCTTCTTGCGAACCTGAAACGAATGCCTTCTTGCGAACCTCAAACGAACGCCTTCTCTTCCAAACGAACACTTTACGACAGCAAACGGCACCCACGACTGCTGCCAACAAAAAGACGACCAACCGCAACGGCTTTTGTCGCCCAAAAAAGACACCAAACAACTCACGCGTCTTCTTCTTGTAGTCCTCGGTTGAGTCCATTATGGTACTCCAAGTTGTGCCCGGCGAAAACACACACACGCAGCTCGAGGACGCATCCGCACATGCTCGTTACACTCCTTCCTGATCTCGAGATCACACAAATTGCAATGTTGGGCAGGCCATTTCTGCCTGGTGCTTCGTCTCAGTGGTATGGTCTCAAGCGCTTCCTCAGTGATGCTCTCTTCAGATGTCTCACTGAGCTCATCCTGCATAGGTTCATCAGGTGCGCTACTCTCTGAGGTGTGCTCTTCCTGTGATTTTATATATACCATCGGGGCTTCATCATCATCTGAAGAATTAATGTGGTCGCTGACGGAATAATCCTTCCTTTTATGTGGTGTGGTATTCCATCAACAGAGACGGAATGTGGACTATTAATTTGTGTCACCATACCCTTGTTGAACTGTGTTGTACACTTTCCGTGCAGATTTTTCACCCAGACAGTCTCTCTTAACGTATAAGGATTGGCAACTGTGTCATCACTCACCAAAGCTGTGTCGATACTCATAATGTGGACCCTGTAGGTGTAGGTTGCATTCACAGATGCAGTTGAAGCTGTTTTATTGTCCTTTGGGGTAACGTTGTGCCAATATACAGCTTCCAAAACTGAACACCGTGTTCTCGTTGCAATGCACTTTATTGTACGATGGAATCTCTCAACTATCCCATTCCCCGATGGTATGTGGGCACAGCAAAATCGTATTTGTACATTCCACATCTTTGCAAAATCGGCAAACCTCTCTCCACAAAACGCTGCGCCATTATCCATAAGCAACTCAATCAGCAGCTCTCTTTCACAAAACACTACTTCCAACTGCTTGATGATGATAGCAGAGTCTTGGCGGTGCAAGGGCTTCCAAATGACAAAACGACTGGGGCCGCAGTCTATCAGCGTCAGGTATAGTTGATGTCTGAAATGGGTTACATCCATCGCAACCCTGTGCCAATTTTCCACAACATCAAGCCTGCCCGGTTTCGAACGCACAGGGGCCGGGTCGATTGACTGGCATTCCTTGCATCCCCTAACCACTGCTCGCACCTCAGCTTTTGTTACTATTGGGTTGATCAACTTCACGAAATAGAGTGTTCTCTTCACACCAGGGTGTCCGCTGGATTGATGAATGGCTTGTACTTGAGCAACATCTTGTTCTTCAGCCACAGCGCACATAGGTTCTCTGTGTTCTGTTATTTTGCGCATTTCATTTAACCATCACTGTAGTACTCTAGTAAGTTGGTCGGCTCAATTGTTGCACAACTTGACAAGCTCTACATCAATGTCCAGCTTGTATTCTAAGGCCAACTCTTGGAGTGTGGCTAGCCAACGTCTGATTAGCATCTTGGAGGCTGCCTTGGTGCGCACTCTCGTCCATCTGGACAGGGTGTCAGCTACCCAGTGATGCACACATACTGAGTCTGTCTGTAAATGAATGGTTTTAGCCTTCCATTGTAATGCAAGGTTGACACCTCGCAACACACACAACCACACCGTGGGCTAAGGAGCTTGCATCTACCCACACAGTTACATTTTGCTCACTGAACAGTGGTATCAACTTCAGTTCGAGGACCATAATGCTGAAATAGCTTGTGTGAGAAAACGGGAAGAAGAAAAAAACAAAAAAAATGCCTTCTTGCGAACCTGAAACAAACACCTTCTCTTCTGAACGAACACTTTATGACAGCAAACGGCACCCACAACTGCTGCCGACAAACGGACGACCGACCGACCGCAACGGCTTTTTGTCGCCCAAAAAAAGACACTAAACAACTCACGCATCGTCTTCTTGTAAGTCCTTGGTCAAGTCCATTATGGTACTCCAAGGTTTGCCCGGCGAAAACAGACACACACAGTTCAAGGATGCTTCCGCACATGCTCGTTACATAGTTCAAGAATAGCACAATATCAACATTTTAGAGGTCAAGGAGCATTAGGGTGATTGTCTTTAATTATAATCTTTCTTGGAAATCCTGCACATTCATAGGAAAAGACTCTAAAGTTGGCAGGGTCATATCTTCTAAAATAGACTTAAAACCCTCATAAAATTTTTTGGTGAACTTGAGCAGGCATTGCAGATGTTAGGCAAAAAATATTATGAAAATTGAAGAGGATATATTTTTGATAGATTGACCGTAAGCTACATAGGTGAAAAGTTGTTGATTTTGGGGTCATGTATTTGGGTGAGTAAAATAAAATTTTCTATCAAGTGTAGGCTTAAAATAGTTAAATATTTGGATTCTACACTTCTTATTTGCCCTACATACCAAATTTCAGAAATATTGAAGATATAGAAGTATTTTTCTTTATTTTTTAAAAAACACTGAGATTCCGGGACGTTGCATGGCCTCAATTTAGAGGCAAAATAGGAAAATTATACACCCCCCCTCCCCTTAAAATTGGAACAGTAAAGTCTAGCACCAAATAATTTGGCACACTTTCCTAACTCATGCAGGGGAACATTTGTGCCAAATTTCAAATAATTCAGTGTTGGTGGGTGTAATGCCCTGGTGAATTGACATGGAATGACCCAGAAAACAAATCAAAGGTGTGACATAAATCAAGTTTGACATGACTATGCAGGGAAAGCTGTAGAGAGAAACTTAGTTGAAGTTAATAGCAACCCAAAACAATGTCATAAGAACAAATTATATAAAGGCTAAAGTTGATATAAAAAGAGCAAATGTAGACCATGTGGAAATAAAGAAAATTTGTATTTGTAGCAAATTAGCCCAGAAAGAATACATAATAAACATGACTAGGCAGGAAAAGTAATTCACTGGGAACTGTGCAAGCAAGTGCATTTTGATCATATAAACCAATGCACAAACCAGAATCTGTTTTCAAGAAAGAAGCACATAAAACCCTCCGAGACTCAGATTCAAATGGGGAACCCAATCAAATAGTAAATAAGAAAATATGCTAGATAGTGGATTTTGCTGTTCCATAGAAAACCCCAGAGTAGATATGAAAGAAAATGAACAGATCAATAAATATTTTTATCTTGCATAAAGTAGTGAAGCATGAAAGTGACAGTAGTACTAGTCATTACTGGAATGCTGAAAATGGTCTCAAAGAGATGAAGAAAGACAAACTGGAAATTAGAAGAGATGAAACCATACAGATGACAGTGTAAATGAAAACAATTAAAATATTAAAAAGAATGATGGAGCTACCAGTTAATAATGATATGAATACTCAATAATATATTACATGTCCACCCAGAAAATATTCAGCCATTTAATATTAACAAAAAATAAACCACTGAGCACCTTAGTTCTTTTCAAATTATTCCCTTTCCACTTTTCAAAGCATTCTGCAAAGTCATGCTTTAGAATCATCACCAGCTGGTTCCTTCACTGTGCTCTTGAAACATACCCACAACATTTCAATGACAATTTTAGCTTTAGAACAATCCAGAAGTCACAGGAAACCAAATCAGGGCTTGATCTGATAGACTTGGGTTGATGCAATGTTTTACCATAAACCTTGCATAAGGCATGAAGAATCTACTCCCTTGACCATTATAAATGCAACAGTACTCCATGGCGACTCACTGCTAAGTAACCCAACAGGAGAGTTAGTAATGCACACTAAGGTCCCCCTGGTTACCAAGTTGTATCAAGGCCCTAGAAATTCAAAATGACTGGATATATTCTGGACAGATCATATATATATATATATAAAGTAATAGTAATAAGAATAAAAAAATTGTTAACCTGTAGTGGCTTTTAATGGGTCTTGATTCACACAGGTTACTATCTTCAACTGTTTTGCAGTTACATCATATCCAAGCCAGCACCATCCAGAACCCTGCACAGCTACAGAAGAATTTACCAAATTGTTTTTCATTTTTTCAAAAGATCCAAAATCTCTTACAATAGCTTCCATTAATTTTCCTTCAGGTTCACCACCTCCATGTGGACTAAGCACTTCCCAGAATATACTATGGTTCAAATGTCCTCCACCATTAAATTTAAGAGCTGGTTGAAGACTTATAATTGTTGAGGTATCCCCTGGTAAGAAAAAAATGTATATACATATATAAAAGTAAGTATTATTTATATAAAAACAAATGTTGCTTACTTTCAAATATACAAGAAAATATAACTGTTTGAAAACAAAAATAAGTAATTTATAAAATAGATGACTTTCCTGAAAAAAAATCATCATTTAAACAATTATTAAATACAAAAGTCTATTATTGTGAACATTGAATAAATTTATGTATACAATGTCTGTCGGGAAATGACTGAGCCATTTAATATTAACAAACAAATAGCCTACCTAATGCAATAGTGCCTTAGTCCACTTCAAAGTACTCCTCTTAGGGCCTAAAACTCTTATCCCAGTGTGCCTTTCACTTTTGAAAATAGTCTTTCAAAGATTATCAGTTGCTTCATTGTTGTCTTTGTTAATTTTGTTCAGTCTGGAATTTCCTTGAAATTGTGATTTTAGATTTGGGAGCGAAATTGGAAATGCACTGCATAAGATGTTATAAATGGAGTTACAGATCTATTCCCAGTTGGACTAAAAGCAGTGGCAAACAAAATTTTCACACAAAAATAATGGATTGTCATTACTTGTAGTGGTGAAAAGAAATGGAATAAATTTCAACAAGGCTATATGTGTGGCTAATAAATGACTAGCAAGAAATAAAATATACCTGTATGCATGTCAAAATAGCTGAAGAGAAAGAAGATATTAAAATCTAGCTATTAGAAATTGTGTATGTGAAAGAGTTCAGTCAGTCAGGGGAACAAGTCCCATACTCTACATCTACTCCATGCTAGAAGAAAAAAGAGGAAATGTCCTATTTTAATAGCTTCCTAAACAGTGCAATCTAATAGCATCTTGGTAAATCAAGTGGAAGTAATTCCACAATGGTCATATATTATCATAAAGAATGTAATGGTTACAGAGTACACAAAGTCACTTAATAGTATATCATAGTCAACTGAGTAATCCAATGGTAGAGGGTCTATTCACACATGTGCAATAAGATCCCCTCTGATTAGTTTCCAAGTTATATCATGGCTGCAAAACCAGTTCTTGAGATATTTAAAATGCTTGGATACTTTCTGGACAGGCCTTATATCAATATTGCATTTAACAAGTATACTTGGTAATAAACAAAATACTTTCCTTTGTAAAGATAATTTTTATTGATTTTTGAAGGCAACTAACACAAAATACTTATTCCATGTAATATAAGATAAAATTTTATAATTTTGGTACTGACCTATGTATATTTTCATATTTCATTTTTCTGCACACCTTTTGAGAAACTTTGAATACACAATTAACAGTACTTTTGCATTTGCATATTAGAAATACTTGTAAAGGTAGTGATAGATATCAGTATTCTTATACAGAAGCAAAAATATTTCTCAATAATTAATAACAACAAAACAGTTTAATCTTTCTGGACTAAGGAAAAGCACAGTTTGCATACATATGAATATTTATATTAGGCACACATATAAAAGTACAAGCTGGGAAGAAATATGAACAACAAATTCAACAGCTCCTTCACAAACAGTTTTTTTGTAAATGGTTATTTACTTTATATTTTGAAATAATACTCTGCATAGAAAATCTTTATCATAGTAGAGAAGTTTATGTGCACTTCTGTATCAAGATCAAGATTTTCTATGCAGAGTATCATTTTTTGTTGCAATCAGATTAAAAACTTTCAAATCTCAAACCTGGATTTTATGTTCAGAACAAAATATTAGAAATTGAGTTTAATTTTATTCTTTAAATATGAGTAGAAACTAAAGAAAGAATCTATTTGTTATGAAAATAACCTGAAAGAAAGCAAGCTTTAAAGACAATTCTATTGATGTTTTAATTTCAATTATATAACTCAGGAAGTATTAGTTACCCATTCTTTAAAACAAATTATACATACTCTACAAGAATTTTCAAAAAATTAAAAATCAAAAGTAGTTTATAATAAAAAGTATTAGTTTTATTATATTTTTTAATTATTTTCATTCAAAAATATCTATTGAATTGTTCCAGAAATATCGAACATATTTTAAAAATTGATTACACATATAATTTTGTTATAGTATGCAATTTCTATCAAAAACAACAATTTAGAGATTTTGTCAAATTACAGGAGTTTTCTCAAAAGTTTCAAGACAGAAATGAACCAAGTAAAATGTGCTTTCATAAAAACACAAAAGTGTCAAATATAAAATATACAATGAGAAAGAATCAAAGATATATTGAGATTAAGATTTAAAAAAAAAAATACACTTAAAACATGTTTTAAACTAAATTTCCAAAAGAATTGTAAAACAAGATTTGAAATTCTGTCAAGGAATTAAGTAAATTTGATAAAATTAAAAAAAGACATCTTACCTTTAACCACTGCATCTGCCAGTTTTTCTTCAGCAATATTTAAGTTATTGATATATGTTGCATGATGTTTTTGATGATGCAATTTCATGATATCTGCACTGATGTAAGGCTCCAGAGCATTATAATCATATGGGAGATCAGGCAAAGTATGCTTGCAATGAACACCCAATGAAATCAGACCATAGCTGGCAGGTGCTAACAATTTCTTGCCAAAGCCAGATCTATAAATAACAGAAATTACTTACTAAAATACCCTTAAATATTTAGCAACAAAAACACTGAACATTGTTAATATATAATAAAATATAGCCATGTGAAGAAAATGGTCATTTACCTTGTCAAAGTGAATGACAAGTGTGCCTAAGTGTGCTGGCAAAAGAGGGCTCACATGACTTCTCTCTTTAATTAGAGAACATCATACAAATTTTTGTTCTACCTTAACCAAGCACAGACTTCCTGACTTACATACAAGTCAAGTGTCTCGAGCAATGAGAGAGTGAGTTTTTTGTTTGTTGCAAAGTATGGAGGATGGCTTTGTGACCTATGAGTTAGATTTGCAAATTTCAAGCTGAGAATTTTTGTCACTTTTAGAACTCTTCACTAGAAGTTATTTTGGCACAATGACAGATAAGATGTTTGACATTAAGCTTATACCAGAATTTGATGTGACCAAACAGCCAGTTACTGAATGGATGGAAAATGCAAAACTTGTCAGTTATCTCTGTAGAATAAAGATTGAATGAGTTCCTCCTTGATGATTAACTAGCAGAATATTTACTATCAGCAGATCAGTACACAGTAAAAATTGGATAAAATGAGTTCAAATGATTATTTTTAGGCCTACAAGCACTTTATGCAGTAGGGTTGCACCCAAATAAGCGCATTAATGTCTTTTTAGTAGATTTGAAAAAGCTAGCAGGATTATTCAGTGGAATATCCAAGCAAGTATACTTGCATGTGTGTTTGTGGCAACTTTTGCATGCATCCTCCAGGATGGAAGAAATGACTATGTCAGCTACTGGACCGAACTGGACCCATAATGAAATGGTGAGTGAGGAAATAGCTGCAGATAGCACTTTACCAGTTGAAGCTGAATCACTTTTTAAAAGAATTCTACACATGCCCATCATCCACAAAAGACCCTTGGAACAGTGCAAAGCTCCCAATGCTGTGGGTTACTTTAAATTGATTCAGAGTGTCTGGGGAAAAGTGGAAGGACACAAAATGTAAGCACTAGTATTTTTCCCCAAGTGAAATGTGAATGAGATGTCCAAGAGAATGCAATCAAGAGAGTTGGAATGGTGAACACTGACTGTTCACAATCAGTCACAAGTAAAGCAGTCTGTCAATTTTGGCTTGAGAAGGTAGTGGACATGCTAACTGTAAACAGAAATACCCTCAAATGCAGCAGAGTTGGAAATATCAAGCTTGGTATGGACAAAACAGAACCCTAAGCATCAAAGTTTTGGTAGTAGATGGACAAATATTTTGTTTTGACTAGTTGCTTGGATTCAACAATATTATAAAGCTGTGTGATGGTGGTGGTGCAGAAAAACAATAGTAAAATATAGCCCCAAAACTAAATGAGCACTTGGATGTGTAGCAGGACAGTGGCCCTGACTAAGTGCTTGAAATATTGTTTGGTGACTTGAGGTATTGAGAGAGAGACTTAGTAAACCTGAACGAATAAGTAGATATATTAGATGGAGAACAATATAAGAGAGTGGTTAATAAGGTTGAAACCTAACAAAAAAACGTTTTTGTTTAAAAATATTAATTTGAACCTATAAAATAATTATAATGAAAGCATCAGGAGGATTTGATCCTAAAATAAACCAAGTAAAATTCAGTAATATCCAGTTTAACTGAGATAACCTGCTTAGACCCCCAAATCCAAGAAAATCATGATGACATGATTAATATGTTTTGCAAAAACTCTGCAAAACTCAGATGAAATTGGGGAATGTTATTTTATGATCCTATGTAGCAATCGTACATGTTTGGAATGCAAATGTCTGGTCTTGGATACTTTCAAAGTATGGGTCACAGGCAGTTCTAATGGGGAATACTTTAACAAAGAGAGTTTTTGTGTGAATACCAAATTAATCCAAGTCTCTAATGTTAACTTATGAGCACATACACATGCCATTTTAGGGCAGATGGAGAGACAGAGACAGACAGGGAGACACGAAGAGTCATGCTTGAAATCTTATGGATAGTGTTGTAGTCCATTTTTGTCAAATTTTCTAGCAGCAGCGAAGTTGGCAGCACACCTGATTTCGCCCATAACATATCTCTCAATACCTCATGAGAAGAATAGTCAAAATGCATAAGTGTGAGGTTTGCAGGTTTTTAATTTCCAATCATTAATAAATTGTTGATAAAACTATCTGTTGATTTCAATTTTGATTAAGAATAACTGTAAAACACTTTCCCCTCTCCTTTTATAGGTAGAAGCACACAGAAGCTTAATGGGAATTTTCCTAGCCAATAGGCTTGTCCTCAGTTTGATCTGATGCTGTCCCAATCTGTCTTGAAGTCAGAAAGCTATGTTCACTTGTCTAAAGTTGTTTTTATGTCAACCCCAATTCTTAGTTTGTGAACTTTTTGCCATATAGCTGTTGCTTTGCCTTATTACTGTCAATTTGCCTTGCATATATTGTTTGCTTGCATTATATTATTTTTTGCCCTGTTCTTTTTCTTGTTATTGCTTATTGGAGACTACTGTTACTTATTTTACATTTGACCATGGTTATAAGCCCAAGAATGTTTCAAAGGTGACGAATCAAAATACAAATTATGGGAGATATTATTTTTGTGTTACATGCAAATCAAAATATTACACAAAACAATCTTGGTACCATTTGATCATCCCAATGAAAGAAAAAGTACTGCAAAAATAATGCCAATTGCTAGATGTAATCATAAGGTCTATGCTAACAGTTTCTTCTCTTGCACTTTTCACTTGTAAAATTCTTTTCTGGATTTCCAATCAACTTTGATCTTCAAAAATTTAAATGCAACTACAATCGTCATCTTCTGACTCTTAAATTCCTGTTCTTTTATTATCCTCTCTCAACTTTTTTTTTCAGATTCTTTCACACTTAGTTTTATAGTCTTTCTTGGGATAAAAAAGAAAATGTGGGTCAATTAGGTTTTGTAAGAGATCAATAGAAGTGTTATCAAGGATGCATAGATGATGCACAACATATCAATCTGGCAGAGTTGTATGTTATCGTGAATGGCACCAATTTGGCACTACAGTGTTTCACCTTTTCATGGACTCCAAATGCATGTGTCAGTGAGTGTTTGACATGCACACTGGAAAAGCAAGAATATATATATACAAAGGTGACAAGCAAGATGCTGATCCGAAGTTGGTTCAACACTCTCGAACAAAAATTGGTCCAAGAGTACAAATTATCAGTAACCATACATTAGTAACAGCAAATCAAAATCAGGCAGACAATGGTACCACATCAATATTATGGCATAATGAAGAAAGAGGTTGAACCAATACAAACTATGTATACTTCAATGGTGAAAAAAAAAACTCTCCATAAAGACTGTACATTGCCAGAGTGTCAATCCTGGTATCAGATGGACAATGTACTTTACAAGACAAATCCATCTTACAGCATCAAAGAGGCAGTCAGGGAAGTTGTCAGGGAATGTAAGAATTGATTAACCCAGCCCAAACTCATTGGTCATTGAAGCAAAAGTGTGAATGAAGTATGGATCTGCTTAGGATTTAGCCATTATGTTGGACAACACTATCTTACATTAATTGATTTGTGATATAGCAACCTCTGCATTAGCAAGATTTGATAAACATCATCCACCAGATGCAAACCATTTTTTCATGAATGGGACCCACTGACAGAAATCTTAACCGACAACAATACTGTATTTCACAGCAAGTTGTTTAAAGATTTCTTGAATAGCTGAGCGTGTGTGTGTGTGTGTGGGGGGGCTTATATTTCCAATGTACATATATTCTCACAGGCAATGCCATAGTTGAAAGATGTCACGGAGCATAAAGAGAATTGCCATAAAAAAGCAATGTTCGATAATAGAGGCGTGGTATTAGCACAAAATCATGCCAAATAATGACACATCACTCACTATTGCACCTAGAGATAAGGGGTATGAGGGACTATATTCAAATTCTGCATATAACCATTTTTTTCACACATAATACTAAAAGAAATCAAAATCTGAAAAAATTCTTCAATCTAATGCATTTTTGAATTGCTACCCTAAAAACTTTAATATGTGATTTTGGCCCTCAATGAAACTAGAAAATAGTGATATAAGAACGTAACTGTCCTTGAATGTAAGTAAATTGTTATGACTTACAACAGGAAAATTTGATGATGATTCATATTTAATCCAGGCCTTAAAGGCAGTGTTTGCTCATTTTATTGGATAAAATATGAAATTAAATAGTGCCAATTGTCAGTTCCTTAAACAGGAACTTACAATATTTAGGTCACGCAGTGTGTAAGGAAGGCACAAAACCACTTCAGAGTAAGATGGATGCTATTCACACAGCTACTCATTCTTCTAATGTATCCGAATTAAAATCTGATATGTCACATTTTGGAGGCCAAAATTAAGAGGCCATTGAAACAGGAAAAGTTTCAGGGGCATGTTGCATCCAAACAGGAAAGTTTTGAAAAATTTGGTGAAAACAGGAAGTTGGAAGATGATGTTGAATGGGAATACAATCAGTGATCAGATTGGTTTTGCTGTCATTTGTGAAGATGTGTATTATTGTGAGTTGATTTGGTTTCATGCACAAATTTTCAATACTCAGAACCTAGATGACATGTTTCAACCTTTCCAGGGACACATGAATGAATTTTTCAGATCATGATGTCTGTCAAATTTGAAGTTGAAATTAATTGAATTGAATTTAACATTACATTTTCTTATGTTAATACCCTATGTCAAGGTTCATGAACCAACCACAGAAATAGTGCATCAAATTTTTAAAATGATGTGTGTTGATGCTGCTGAAGTGCAGAGAAGACAAACAGGAAGGGGATATGGCTTTGGTGATCCCACAGATAAAACTGCTTGTGCAACTCAATTACATCTCTTGACAAAAGAGGAGCGAGCTGGTTTGCCAACAAATAACCTTGATTCAGAATGTCACCTGTTTGGGAAAAGAGCACTGGTAGCTAAGTTTCGTAGCAAAAGGAATCCAGAATGATTT